GCCGAGCAGGGAGCCCGATGCGGGACTCGATCCCGGGACTCCAGGATCATGGCCTGAGCCGAAGGCAGTCGCTCAACCAACTGAGCCACCCAGGCGCCCTATATAATTTTTTAATACTTCATTTTTCACACTGTTATTTTTAAACCATCTGGACTTAATTCTGGTTTGAGGTATGAGGTAGGGAATTGGCATATAAGTTTTTTGTATGGTTAGCTAGTTTCCAGGGTTGCTTGGAATTGTTTGGGCCTGAGTGTCCTGGTTTGTTTCTCTTGGGTGGAATTTGGCATCTGTCACATAAATGTTATGCAAAATTAATGGAAATCAAAGGTAAGAGGAAACTTATGTATAATCCTGCTTTCCAACCAAAAAAAAAAAAGTCATAATTTTCATGGGTTTCATTGTATCATTTGAAGAGATAGTTTGACATAATGGCAACCATAGCATAAGTCGTATTTTGGTTTTTTGTTTTTGTTTTTTTTATAAGTGGTATTTTGGATACTGTTATTAGTGTGTACTGTATTTTATAAGTATTTTCATTTGTCCATAATTATACATATACATATTCATATACATAATTATACATATACATAATCATTCGTATATAATATTTCATCATTTAGAGTTTTCTCATTTTCTTGCCATTTTAAATAACATTGCATTGCACACCCTTGTGCCTTTTTGCTTCTTTTGAATTAACTTAACAAATGGATAGATTCCTAGAAGTTATGTTTACTGGGTTAAACAAATAGAAGTTCTGTTTCTTTGTTCTTATTTCCACCTGGCTTTGCAACAGGGTTATGCCAATTTTATATTGTGGGTGGGCACGTTGGAGTCACATGCATCATTGCAGAGCGTGTTACCATGTTGGATCTATGTATTTTGTCTATTTTATTACACAAATGAGTAAGTGAATGCCTCATCAGTCAGTCTACAAGGCTGACCCAAACATACACTTTTAGCCCTTTCCTTTCTCACCTCATGCTCTGTGGCGGCCGTGGAGGAGCACCTCTCGGACCTCCGTTCCCGAGAAGCTGCTGAGAGTGTGGTGGGTGGATGGCCTCCAGCTACCACACTGCCAGGTCCACAGTAACATTCACCTCCAGGCCACGTTCTCCAGGGGCCGCTCCCAGCCATGACTATGCTCCATGGGGTACCAGAGCCTGGTGATCTCTGCCCTGGGCGGGCCTCCTCTGAGGGGGCGATCCTTGCTTTGAGCCTTTCCGTTAGCCTTAGATCTGTAAACTCAGGCTCCTCCTGGGCAGTCCTCCTGTCGCCCTCCTTTTACAGGTCCCAGACCCGCATTGTGGTCTGAAGGCTCTTCTGCCTCCTTATGCCCCTCACCTTCCTCCATCACAGGCCTTTCCCCCACAGTGAGTCTTTTCATGTCCAATTCCACCTTGACTTCCGCTCTTGGAGGCCCCAGACTGACACATGTCGGGTGGATGAGCGCATAGGGCAGTCATTTGCATAGGATAGATACAAACTCCAGTGTTTAGTAAGTGAATGACGGAGTGATGTAGAAGACAGGAGCTTTGAGATGGGTCATAAATTGGAGCCGCAGAAGGAAGGAGCCTCAACCTTTTATAGGGGTACGGTAGTTATGTTGAATACTTGGAAATGACAGTGGTTTTGGTGGTATACCCATTTGATGCTCCTCATTTTGTCTTTTTGTAGTTTTTCTGCAGCGGTTCTGAGCTTTGTGGACAGGAGGTGGTGCGATGGTCCTTAAGGGGTCTTTGACACAGCACAGTTTGTACCTGTCGCACATGAATATGGATCTTTCCAGGGAGTCGCAGGACATCTTGCAGCGTCCCGGGAACTTGTGCGTGCACCTTGCCCCGCCCCCGCTGGCTGCAGAGGAGAGGACAAGAGTGGAGGTTAAGGGTAGAAGCAGCCCAGGGACTTCCCAGGGGTCGGGGCTGTGTAGGAGTGTTTGGTGTTTTATTCTGAGATGTATGCTTGAGATAGCTGGCAACTGAGAGGTGGGGAGGCAGGGAAGAGGAGACAGAACTTGCCTTGACTGCTGGCCTTTGGGAACTCTAAGGAGCTCTCCCTCTGCCAGTCTTTGTGGCTTCGCCTCTGTAGTTAAAGCCCATACTTTTCGCTGTCACTGCTACCACAGAATGTATGCGTGAAACCAGGTCTTCACGTCAGGGAGGAACTTGAACACTTGAAAGGGGGAATTAGGGCTATTCTTACCCCACAGCCTCCACTTTATATGATGTTTCTGCCTCATTTGTTCTCAGGGAATATGAAACTAAATATCAGTCAACCCAGGGCAAAGGAAAAAAAAAAAGTCACATCATTCCCGAAGGCATTAAAGGGAAAGTGACTGTTGCTACTGACAGGGTATTTGCGCATTCATACACTGCCTGACACCAGGGGCCACTTTCTGGTTAAATCTGAGCGCTTTATCTCCGCTCTGTCTGCCATCACCTCAGCACAGGCATTTTCTGAGAACCCTCCTCCTCTGGCTTTCTATACACGCATTGCCTGGCTCTCTGCTTCCTCTCTCTTTCTCTCTGGCTCTGCATGCTCTCCTCACCCCTGGGTTCAAGTTGAGCACCTTGTTTGCCATCCTGTGTGAACTTGCCCTCTGAGAGGTCTCTTTGCCCTGCCTGCCAGCACTCTGTTGGACACAGGGATGGGACCCCCCTGTCTTCCTCCAAGGCGCGGTCTTTCCTCCAAGCACTAACCCTGGGGCTGATCTTAAAGGATGAAAATGGCAGAGAGAGATGCCTTCTCAGCATCTTAGGAGTTTAGTAGATATAGGGAGCTCACGAAAAGTGAAAGAAAGATATTTTGGACCAGGTTGAGGCTGACTCTTGTTTTAGAACAGGAAAAAAGTTTGGGGGACTGGTTTTTGTATAAGGTCGTATATAGAGTGGTGGCTGGGTCCAGGGTATTGAGGCTGGTGGTGAATATTGAGAGATCCCCCACCTTAGGTTGGAACTCAGTAGGGTGAGTCCTGCCTCCAAGCCTCAGACTGGCTTGTCTGTCACCAGGTCTGTCAACCAGATCTGCTAGTGTTCCTGGCCCCCAGCCCTCCTCCCTCTTCCTCCATCCATTTTACCTGGAATCACCAGGAATCCAAAGGATGCAAAGACCAGGAGCAGGAGCTTCATGGCTGAAGGGGTGGTTTGGGGAGCAGGTGGTGGTTTAATGGAGTCTGGGCCCTGTTTGTGATGTGCTTGGAGCTACTGCCTTTATAGGAGCCACATGATGCCAGGATACTGGGCAGTGAGCCAGGGAAGAGTTCTTTGCCACCCAGAACAGTCAGAGTAGATCATGATGTCTACTAGTCTGGAGCTTTGATTGATTTATTGAGCACCTGTATTCTAGGCTGTTGCGAGGGGAAGAGGCAGAATAAAGAGAACATCAGTTCACAGCACCCATCTTTCAAACTCTGCTTTCTAGCCAGTGTTGGTGAGAATGAGTACTCTCTTTCACTGTCGCTGGGCATGCTGATTAGTATTGTTTTGCTTTTGGAGAGCAATTTGGCAATATACATCAGAAGTCTTGAAAAATGCCTATATTTTGCCTCAGGAACTATTCTTGGACTTTTGTCTAATGGAAATAATTGAACAAGTAAGTACACTAAGAGGTTTATCTCAACATTGTTTGCAATAGCAGAAAAACTGCAAGCGATCTAAATGATGGTAAAACATGAATGCAATTGAATATAAAATATAATCAAACACCATGCAGTGATTAGACCTATAGGAGAGACTCATTCACTAGGAGGGCAGCTCAGTAAGGACACTCCAGCACTTTTCATGTTTCAATTAGAAATGTGTGAGGTTGCAAGAGACAGGCAACTCAGCTAGCAGTGGCTTACCTCATAGAAGTATCTAGTATTTATCCAACAAGAAGAAGGGGGGGATTTGGTGGTGGTATGAAGTCGTTCTTGGATCCTTCTTCTCTGCTCTCCTCAGCGTGTAGATGTGCTGATAACCAGTTTATTCTCTCCTGTCTCCAAATCCACCCTTCTTTGTCCTGCTCTGCAATACTGGATTTGGGTCCTGGAAACATGCCTCTTTTGCCAACTGGCCCTGTGTTAGGTTTTGACAATAGAGGGTGTTGGAGGAATACCACAAAGCGATAATTCCCTTCTGGGTTCCAGTTTTCCGTCTTTAAATTCAGCCAAGGAGCCCTGTGGCTCTCAGACGAGGCCCAGCCTTGCCCAGGCCAGACTCTTTCCACCTGGTGGCCAGTCCAGTAGCAGCGCTGGCTGTGTCCTCAGGCAACTGTCTGCCCAGTGACCATGTCTGCAGATCAGCTCTGGCCTGCTCCCTCGGGTGAGTTTCCTTGTCACTGCTCTGTGGCAGCCACATCCTCTTTGAAGAGAATGTGTGAGGTGTATGTGGCTCTTCTAAGCCCTTAGTTCCTCCACTGGAAATCAGAAGTAGGGAAATGTGTTCTTTCTCTGACATTAATATTGCTACTACTCGGGTCCACAATCATTTACCTTTTTTTTGTTGATTAGGCCATTTAGCAGTTTTTATTTAATTGTCTTTTTGGGGGAGTAAAGCAATAGACCCTTGAAGTAGTTTGACCCAGATGTACACTTTGTCCATTTCCATACCATGTATATACCCACCAATAGGAATAATAGCCATTAACTGATTGACCCTTATGACTAAATGGGACATTTTCCAGACTGGTCACTATATCCCTTCTGGGATGTTCTTCCAATTTGTAAAAATGACTTTTCTTGTTTGCCCTATGGGTACACGACTTGCACCCTAGAGGAGTCAGCAACCATTCCAAAATTTCTGGGACTCACCTCAGTGCTTCCACAGCTACTCTCAGGAGTGGGTCTGAAGGAGTGACTGTCTTGGGGAGGGTAAGAGATACCACCTTATTCATGGGGAGTGGGCATTTAAGCTCTAAACAATAGTATGAAATCTGTTAGTCATGCTAGACAAAAATCACCAAGGAGGGGGCGCCTGGGTGGCTCAGTCGTTAGGTGTCTGCCTTCGGCTCAGGTCATGATCTCAGGGTCCTGGGATCGAGCCCCGCATCGGGCTCCCTGCTCAGC